GGCTCTGGGACGGGTGTCACCGGCAGAATTTGGTGTTTTTTGATCACGGGTCACTCTACACACCACCAGGCCTGCTGGCGAGAGCCGGGGTACGCCTGCCTCAAAGGGGGAAAGGATCTTTGCGCGGGAGTTAGCCGGGCTCAGAGACAGAGCTTTAAACTGGATTTGAAGGGGGAGAGGGATAAAGCCAGGCTCGCTAGAGATAAGCTGGGGGTCAGCACGCCAGTGTTTGAGGGACAGTGGGCTAGCCCGGTCCTTCCGTCTGCTCCACGCCATGCGAGTACGCCGGAGCGCATCCAAAATGCCCCTGTACCTCAGCCACCTCAGTGGGGGTAGGGGACGGAGACCCACACGGCGGGCAAGGAAACAAGGGTTGTTGAAGTGTTGGAGACCACGGAAGCACTGGAGAACAGTCACGTAGGAACCAGAGCTTCTCCCCCAAAAAAGGGTGGCAGGATCAATGGCCCAACTGAAGCGCGTCACAGCGCCACACGCACATGGGCAACAAAGGGGAGGAGCTGGAAGCCGCTGGGCAGCTGGAGAACGATGGCTAGCTGCCATCACAGAAAGCCAGTGGGCTGACTCGCACAACGGGAGCGCTGCCGTGGGTGGCTGTACACCCCTGGGGAGGGACAGGCAAGGAAGGCGAGGCGGTGGGGTAGCCCTGGACCTCAGGGAGTGGTTTGGCTGTCTGGAGCTTGACGATTTGGTTGGTGGCCTGGCACAAGCGGTGCCCCCAGGGCTCGGTATTGGGGCCCGTTCTGTTTAACACCTTTATCAATGACCTGGACGAGGGGATCGAGCGCAACCTCAGTTTGCAGACAACACCAAGCTGGGCAGGAATGTGGATCTGCTGCGGGAGGGAGGCTCTGCAGAGGGACCTGGCCAGGCTGGATCCATTCTACCCTACATCTTACTAACCTTCTGCAGAGGGTTGGGGAGGAGCCTGGCGTTCACTGGGAACACGAGGAACAGCCTTTGGGAAGATTCAGGAGAGGAAAAGCTGCTTGTAGCACCTCCAGAAGCTTGGTCTCCAAAGCAAAGTGGGTGGAGAAATTGGGTGGTAAGCCGATGCTAAAATAGGCTGGTGTAGGCTCTGATGTAGGCTCTCTGCTCCACCCAGATCAACAGAAAATTAAATACCCTTCCCATATAAAAAAGTTATTTACAGACTGGCTCTGCAATGCACAGACCGCTCGGCTCCCCTGACGCTGCAGTCACCTGAGCTGAACTGTTAAACCATGGTGAGAGAAAACAGCGTGGAAAAGAACCAACTGTTTGGCTCAGAGAACCCTTGAGCCATCTAAATCTCCCCCTGTTTAAACATACCTTAGGTTTTAATCATAGAAACGTCTGAGAAAGAAAAAAAAAAAGCCTTTTTTTCCCCCTTTCGGTGGTTCTAGAAACCAGAAATGCCTCTCTGTTGTTGCTTCAGGGGACGGCCTACGGCTGGGCCTGCCAGTAAAGAGAAGGTAGAGGATGAGGGGTTTGGGCACATGGAACACATACAACATTGGCAAAACATAGTCAACACGCCGTGCTTAAAAATACCAGACATGACCTTTTTTTCCACAAAATATATTGAACAGCACTTGCCCGTTAACAAATAACTGACCAAAGCAGCCAGGGAACTTGACGTTTCTTCCAGTGCTGCTCTGGACCGGGAGTTTCACTTACATATCGTCCCACCCGAGTCCATGACGCGTGCAAGAGAATCATCGTGAACAGAGCCAAGAGGCGTCCCAGGTGTGCTCGGCGTACGGATCCTGTGGCTGTTTTCGGCATCACGTCACAGCTCACGTCATTTTCAATCCGTCAAAGCCACAGAACTTCCACCTCTTCTCCAGGCTGGCCCCCACCCCGCTCAGCTCCTGCCTGAAGGTGTTCTGCAGCCGAGTCATGAGAACTTCCACTTCCGCGGTGCAAATCTGCGGGAACAGAAGGAAAAGGTCACCAAGAAACGAAGATGCTTTTGGTTATGGAAAACCTTGCGATATTCCAGCTCAAGCACTGGCAGCATTACACGTTTTCCCAACACTGCGCCCCGCAAGAGCTGAAGCGAAAGCCCTTGTGGTGTCTCCATGGGGCCAGCACCTTCACCCAGGCACACCCTACACAATTTGCATCGCAAGTCAATAAAACCCAAATACCCTAAGGAGGGCAGGGCTGTAAGTTTGGCTGCTCAGGCATTTACTGGGTACAACTGAAGTTCAGCAAGTGAAAAAACTTTAGGTGCTGCAAGTCAGAAGTTTCAGGACATACAAAGAGCGCAAAGGCCGAGCCCACCATATATTCAACTGCCTGCAGTGGCTCTCTTATGGCAGCAGAAAAATTAAAACCTTATTTGTTATATTCACAAGGATTCAAGATTGCCTGTGCTGTGTATTTGACATGCTCAGAGCTGTCTCTGCACAATAACCCCGTTCCCCTGTGCTTAGGGAGAGCATCAGGATGTATTTTTGGATAAAACCATGGATATTTTCCAACAGTGCAGTGCCACGTGACATCCTCTGCCTACGTTCTGTGGATCCACCACAGTCACCATCTCTATTTTTAATTCCCTTAGCAGTTTGCAGAGTCTGCGGCTCGGCAGTCGCAGCAGTGCGAGTTTCCAGGGGCTGCGCTCGAAGCCAGGCACGTACCGAAGCCGCGCTTCCCCCTGCTGATGGGAGGGGATTCGGCTTGCCCGTCCTGTAGCCTCAAGCCTGATCCCACTCCATGGTCTCCAGTACGACACCCAAGTGGGTTTGCCAGGAGAGAGGCTCAGGTCACTTCCCCCACCGCCCTTCGAAACTCCTGCTGGACTCTGACCTTCCCGAGGAGGCACCGCGTTGTTCCTTTGATCCGCTTTCTGCGTATGCCGGCACGAATTACAGTCTTCAGCCAGCACTTAGCCGGGGAGAAAAGGTTTTTACTTCCACGAGTGCAGGGCACCACTTACCCCTGGGAAGACAAGGTGCGCAGAAAGGATGTTGGCTTTCAAGCCTTCATTAGTGCACAAGCGCGCTCCTCTGAAATCCCCGTGGCAGTAACTGCCGGGCCGCGGTTTTCAAAACGTGCCAACGGGATAAAGATCAAGAGCACCCGCTCTGCAAGACGGATTTGTATTTGGTTGGATGCACTCTTGTCATCGTGCTGCTCTGCACTCGGGCAGAAACAACAGCCCAAGTCTTGAGAGAGCCAGCGAAACAGCACAAGCTCAGGCTGGAGCGGGGCTGGTAAGGCAGAGGTCCAGCCACCAAACAGAGAGCAGACCCCCGGGAGGAACTTCATCCACGCTGCCCAGCACCCGCGATGCTCACAGTGCTGCAGGGAGTTTCCGTAAGGACCGTTCCATGGCTGCAACCCCCCCGCGATCTTAATTTCTGCACTGTCTGCTGGCCACCTTGGCGAGACTGATGGGCAGGGAACGGGGGAAAGACCTTCCTCTTCCTCTCCTGTTGGCAGCTTCAAGAAACCAGGTTCTGCTCTCAGGTTCTCCCCCTGACTCCTACCCCACCTCAAGCCCAAAGGTCTGCTAGACATTAAAGCAGCACCCCCAAGTGATGCCTAGCTCCTGCAGGGATCGAGAGGGAGAGGGAAGAGCCAAGAGGTGACCTGAAGAACAAGTGGGGAGATCTTTCAGGAGCCCAGGCACAGAAGACCCGTGCAAGCCAGCAGGCTGGTGGGTTTGCCTGCACATCAGCAAACAAGAAAAAAGACCGACGCCACTGCAGAGGTTAAAGGATGTGCTTCTCACAGGGCTTTTCTGCTAAGCTTGTGGAAACTTCCAGCAGCCCTTTTCTAGGCTGCAGATGCCAAAGGGGAAGTGCCCGATGAATTATATGACGGCATTTCTTTAGGAGCTCCAAAACAAATAAAGGCAGCTGCTCGCCTCAGGCAAATTCAGAACTAGAATGTGAAGATAAATCATTAGCTCTGTCCTTAAAGGGCTGGAGCGAGCCTGGAAAACCCAGGCCAGCGAGCTGTGCTTTCTTTGAACGGGGAAAATTAAACAGTAAGTTATAAACAAAAGCAGCTGAACAAGTTCCAGGGACAAGAGAGGATTCCCATGCTGGTCAGGCTCCTGTTCCTGAGGCACTTTAAGGAAGAGAACCAAAGAGCGGTGTTGTACAGGAGCGAGACACAGTCTCCTTGAACCTTCAAAAGCCTTTGCGCAGTCGTCCCTCCCCATTTACTCGGAGAAGGAGTCTGGAGCCAGCGACACCCAGGAACGCCGCAGCCAGAGCCCTTCCCTGTTGTCCTAAGGAAAATGCAGGAGCAGTGCTTGTTATTGCCCTTCTTGACCCCCAGTCCCGGGGCTTGGCCCTTCCACCCAGCACAGACCCCTGCAGCAGGGACTGTGGGTCGGTGCTCATGCTTTTGTAGTTTAAGGTCCTTGCACAGCACCCTCCTAAAAATGACTTCCCTGCCAGTCTCAGAACAGAGGCAGAAAAGGCCCCACGAAGGGCTACGAGATGAGAAATACAGAAAAACTTTGCTCAGAGAAACAAAGCCAGCCTGACTGTTCAGTTTGAAGGGAATATACACAAACAGTGGCATGGCAGATGGTAGAGGATAATAAAGAGCATGCAAGAGGCGGGCTGTTTGTTTTCCCTAGGGGTCGTAAGGGTAAAGGCAACAAAGGCAGAAAACTTAAACACAATTAACAAAACTACATCACAGATGGGGATTTTAAAGATGGAACTCACTGCTGCAAAGTACAGCTCCTGACAAAGAGTTCTCTTGAATTACGAGCAGGATTGCGCACCAACATCTGCAGCGAGAACGTCCCCTTCACCCCCTATTTAGGTTAACGTTAAGCTGTGCAAGGGCTGAGCCCGAGGCCAGGTTGCTTTGAGCAAGCTCATCCAGCCAAAGAGGTCCCTGCCCATGGCGGGGGCTGGACTAGGTGGTCTTTAAAGGTCCCTCCCAGCCGAAACTGTTGCGTGACTCTACGAGAGCCCACCCCTTCCCTTGCCCTCTTCCAGCAAATCATTGCAGTTAATGCAGTTACTGCGCAGCCCCCGCCCCGGGAGGGGGCCAAGCTCTTTACCAGCCACAGAGACCGAACGCACTCGGGGCAGGAACGCAGCGCCCAGGCTGGCTCGGGGCAGCGCTCGCACACCTACTTTGCTGTCCAGGCGCTGCAGGTAGGAACAGATGTACTCTATGCTGGCTCCAAACGGGTGCACGTGAAGGAACGTTGAAATGATTCCTGCGGAAAGGAACACCACAAACGTCATTCTCGTGAGACAGCAGCCAGGCGAGAACACCAGCTCCCCGTCGCTGCTGGCACAGCACAGAGGGATCTGATGGGGCATTTTTGGGTTTAAGTACAGTGAAGTTTGGCTCAGAGACACAACAGGTAACCAACACCGCTGGTCAGCACTTAAAACAGACCTCCCCACCCTCACTCCTTGCTGAGTACCAGTAACGAGCCCAGCGATGAACCACGCTGAGGTTATCGTACGTGTGGGGATGCAAGACCCCAGGAGAGGGAGGGCAGAGCTCCCCTCCAGCTCCATCGAGGGTCAAGGAGCAGGAAGAGGCAGAAGTCAAACGGGGAGAGCGGCAGCGGCACGCGTGTCCCGTCCCAAAGGTCTGCAGCACTTGGTTAAACAGAGCAACCCAAGTTCGCACCCTGCCACTGGAGACTCCTTCCCAGCTCATGGCCAGGACTGTGCGTCAGAAAGACTG